AGCACATGGTTGCAGCGAAGAGGGTGTTGCGCTACTTGTGCAGTACGTCGGGCATGGGGCTAGTGCTTGGAGGGCGGAGTCCAGTGGTCCTTACTGGGCACGCGGACGCTTCTTGGGCTGACGACCAGGCTACGCAGCGGTCGTCACAGGGTTACACCTTCAGCCTTGGTTCCGGCTCTGTTTCGTGGCGGGCTACCCGCTCGTCTTCTGTTCTCGGCTCCAGTTGTGAGGCTGAGATCTACGCCGGGGCCATGGCTGCACAGGAGCTTCGCTGGCTCACCTACCTGCTGACCGACCTTGGAGAGTCGCCTCGTTCTCCTCCAGTGCTGTACGTAGACAACAAGGCCATGCTGGCCTTGTGTCGAGAGCAGCGACTGGAGCACAGAACGAAGCACATTGCTCTCCGGTACTTCCTTGCTCGTGAGCTACAGCAGCGTGGACAGTTGCGGCTTGCGTACGTGGCCTCTGAGGCCAACACTGCTGATGTCTTCACCAAGGCACTTGCGCCTTGTGATCATCAGCGCTTCTGCACTCAGCTGGGACTTGTGCCCGTCTTGCCTCACTTGCTCTCCTCTTGACCTTGCTTGTACTCTCACATATATGTATACCTGCTCTTGCTTGTCTAGCTTTATATATATGTGTGTACTCTTGCTTGTGAACTGGCCTTGTGGCCTTGACCTTGTGCTCAGACTGTGTGGTGACTTTGTGATCCACCCTGAGCTTGCTTTGCTTTGCTTTCCTTGACTGGTCTTGTGACCCCTTGTTCTCCCCCACTTTGCCTATGGGGGTGTGTCAGAACATTCTAGCTTATGCGGTTGTGTAGGCTATAGTGGGGTATCCCATAGGGGGTACAACCCATTTAGGGTTTCCTATATGTACCCACTTCATTCATAGTTGATTCATTCTTGTTCTCATTCTCACACTGGGGAGGTCTCCGGCCGGGAGACCCTGGGGTGAAGGTTGATCTGATGCGCCGCGTACCGAACCGCAAACGGCCAAAGAAAATGGGGGGCAGCCGGCTGCATCATGGACGTACGAGCGACGTCCATGACCATGCCAATGCGGCGCTCAGCAATCCCATTTTGCTGTGGAGAGTCCGGAAGCGTGAAGGTCTGGTGGATGCCTCGCGCACGACAGTAGGCTCGCAGAAGGCCAGAGGAGAACTCTCCGCCTCGGTCAGAGTGCAGACGCAGAACAGGAAAGTCCGAGCCGAAGCTCCTCCTGAGCTGGAGACGAGCTGCGCGGATCCAGTCGATCAACACCTCAGTGACATCACCCTTGCTGCGCAAGGGGAAGACTGTGGTGTAACATGAGTAGTCGTCAACCACCAGCAGGAAGTAGCGCTCGTGACCCTGTCCACGGACGCGGGCCGGGCCCCACACGTCCAAGTGAAGCGTCTGCAGCGGAGCCTCTGTCGGGGGAAACTGAGAGGAGTGAGGGGCAGCCCGGAGCCTCCCCTCGACACAGGGGACACAGGAAGGACCAGGCCCCGAAGGAAGGGGAGGGAGGGACTGGGGGAGACCAGAGACAAGGACACGGGAGGCCATGCCCCGAAGACGAGGCAGGGAGGGGTGACCAAGACGGTGGTGCCACAGGAGAGTCTCGTGAGACAGGAGGCGACACGAGCAGGGGGCAGACTCAGAACCAGACCTGGACGCAGCAGCAAACACCTGACCCGACGAAGCTACCTGGCCAGACGCAGAGATAGGAGGAGACGCAGTGGTCAGGGTGTAGAGACTCGACCCCGGCCTGCGTGAAAACGTGGCCAGGTGTCGGCCTGTGCGGGCATCCGAGCAGTGGGTCACCCGCTGACTCGCAGGAGTGAACTGGTGAACCCCCGCATCCTGTAGGTCAGCACCACTCACCAAGTTCGTCGAGAACGAGGGGAGGTACAGACCAGACAAGGTGCCCGAGGGGGCAGCCGGACACGGGAGGACTGTGGAGAAGTGAGAGAGGACAGGACCCCCAGAGGGGTCAGCCAGGGAGACTGCAACCGGTCGACCAAGCGGCGTGAGTGTGGTGCGGTCTCGAAAGAAGGAGCGAGAAGCCCCCGAGTCAAGCGTGAAGGTGAGGGAGGTCGAAGCCGACGCGATACCTGAGAGCGCAGCCTCACCAGTACCTGAGGGCGCAGACGCGCTGGCACCTAGAGCAGCAGCCTCACAAGCACCTAGCGCAGCAGTACCTATGCCCGGGTCGGGCGGGAAACACCGGTAACAGTCACCCTCATCACTAATAGTCACAGCATACATGGCAGCAAGGATAGCATCAAAGTCAAGATCATAGATAGCTACGCCTGCCCTAGACAGCTCTCCCCAGCGGGGGATCTCACTAGCCTCGGGGAACTGCTGACGCCAAGCGTCCGTCAGGCGGCCAAAACAGCGCTGGGTGGGGTGGGCACCCCCACACTGCTCACCCGCGCGGTCGCCGGAGCGAAGGACGTAGGTGCACGGATCAAAACCCCCACCACGCTGACGCTGTGTGTACCACTCACGGAGCTGCTGAGGGGGGGGGATGTCCCGAGAACGCTGCTGCTGCTGCTGCTGCTGCTGCTGCTGCTGCTGCTGCTGGCGCTGACCACCACCAGAGCCGCTCCGCTGCGAGGCACCACCCCGACCAGCTCCACCTCCTCCGCCACCGCCGCCTCCACCGCCGCCACCACCGCCACCTCCGCTCCCACCGCTACCGCCGCCGCCGCCTCCTCCTCCACTGCCGCCACCAACACCACCACCTCCGCCACCACTCCCACCGCCACCCCCACTCCCTCCGCCGCCTCCACCGCCACCTCCACCACCCCCGCTAGCTCCACCCGCGCCCTTGCCCCCCTTGCCCTTGCCAGAGCGGCGTCTCCCGCTAGGGGCAGACGCCGCACCGACCGACTCAAGACCAAGTAGGTCGGCCGCAGCAGCAGAGGCGACAGAGGGCAACAGGGGGGAAGGGGAACACCCCTCAAAGATGGGGGTGCGAGGGTCACCACGAGAGGCTCCTACAGCGACTATGCTCTTCTCCGCTGCTAGGAGGGCCTTCTCTAGGAGGTCAACAGTGAGAGTGGTGGGACAGACTGAGAGAAAGTGGTCCCTGACTACGCGAAGGGAGTCAGGGAGGCGGGTGACTATGTAATAGAGAGTGATGTACATGGGGGGGGGGGGGTCTTTGCGCAGAACTCAGCAGGCAGCGCGGCGCGGTAGCGAGTGTCACTAGTGCGGAGGTGCGTAATGAGGTCAGCAACTGTGGGAAATGCAGCAAGGTCAGGGAAGAGGTACGGTAGCATGAGGCGGCTCAGTGCAGCAGTGGCAGGGGAAGAGTAGCGCGCAACTACAGCGTCGTACAAGGTCTGAGCACTCTTGTACTGACTAAAGTGCGCGCGCTCAGTGGTAGGCAGGTGGCGACGCACAGCAAGACGTGCAGCAGCATCGCGGGTGGCCCACTGAGAGGGAACAGTGGGGTCAGCATCAGCAGTAGGGGCAGGAGAGGCGCCAGAGGTGAGGTCAAAGAGAGAAAGACCGTCCGCCCTATCGCACTGTAAGAACAGCTGCATGTCGTCGACCCAGACCTCAAAGTCAATGGCTCGACCCTCAGCGTCAAAAGCGAGGACACTAGGGGTAGCCATGACGACGGTAGACTAGCAGTGCAAGCAGGAGGGGAAGGGCACGCAGTGACAGAGAGGCTGTGCTCACCGGACAGGGTTGCTCGGGCGGCTCAACTTTAGGGCGGCTCGGCGGCTGGGCGGCTCGGCTGCTGGGCGGCTTGGCGGCTCGGCTGTGGGGCGGCTCGGCTGCTGGGCGGCTCGGCGGCTCGGCTGCTGGGCGGCTCGGCGGCTCGGCGGCTGGGCGGCTCGGCGGCTCGGCGGCTGGGCGGCTCGGCTGCACGGCGGCTCGGCTGGTGGGCGGCCGGGCGGCTCGGCGGCAGGGCGGCTCGGCTCCTCTGGTACAGGGCGGCGCGGCGGTCGGCGGCTCGGGCGCGCTGCTGCAGGAGGGGAGAGGGGTGGGGCCGCAGCAGACGGGCGGTGGGGCCCGTTGACGTAGGGCGGCGGGGCCGGTGAAGTAGGGCGGCGGGGCCCTTGAAGTAGGGCGGCGGGGCCCTTGAAGTAGGGCGGCGGGGCCCTTGAAGTAGGGCGGCGGGGCCGCAGGTGTAGGGCGGCGGGGCCGCAGCAGACGGGCGGCGGGGCCGCAGACGTAGGGCGGCGGGGCCGCTGAAGTAGGGCGGCGGGGCCCGTTGAAGTAGGGCGGCGGGGCCGCGAAGTGGGGCGGCGGGGCCACGAAGTGGGGCGGCGGGGCCGCAGCAGACGCGCGGCGGGGCCGCTGAAGAAGGGCGACGGGGCCGCGAAGTGGGGCGGCGGGGCCGCAGCAGACGGGCGGCGGGGCCGCTGAAGTAGGGCGGCGGGGCCGCGAAGTGGGGCGGCGGGGCCGCGAAGTGGGGCGGCGGGGCCGCTGAACAGGGCGGCGGGGCCCGTGAAGTAGGGCGGCAGGGCCGCGACGTAGGGCGGCGGGGCCGCGATAGTAGGTGGCGGGGCCGCACGAACGGGCGACGGGGCCGCTAAGGTAGGGAGGGCCGCTAGGTCGTAGGGGCCGCTAGGGCGGCTCGACGAGGTGAGAGCGCGACTCGGGCGGAGCGCGCTTCGGGCAGGAAAAAAAAAAATCGAAATTTGGTGGGCCCTAGGCACAGTTACCACAGGGGAACTTGCTCGATACCATGAGAAAATGAGAACGAGAATGAATGAACTATGAATGAACTGAGTACAAGTTCTAACCCTAATTGGGTTGTACCCCTTGTGGGCTACCCCACTATAGCCTACACAATATGCAAAAGCTATATGTTCTGTCATTGTGACCCCTTGTTCTCCCCCACTTTGCCTATGGGGGTGTGTCAAATTATAATATTGTGTAGGCTATAGTGGGGTAGCCCATATGGGGTACACATTTCTAGGGTTGCATATTTGTATCACTTCCATTCCTTAGTCAATCATTCTCGTTCACATTTTCTCACCACCCCATAGAACCAGGATGCCTCCGCGACGAAGCTTACGCGGCAAGGGAAAGGAGAAGGTTAGCGATGATGAGAAAACACCTGACCCCCCCTACGTCGCATGGATGAAAGAGCAGCAAAAGCAGGGGAAGCCGTCCCCATCTATCAAGCGTATGGCTAAGGCCGTACGCGAAACTGCGGGCGCCAGCAGTAGCCGAAGTTCTCGGCATGACTATCCCGACACATGCGCCGGTACTGACGTCTCTGATGACGATCTCGAGGAGATCGTCTCGGAGTCGGATAGCGATGCCGACTCAGCCGATTACAAACGCGGCAGTGAAGAGGACGAGGAAGATACTGATGGAGGCGACGACGGAAGCGGTGATGAGCGCAGCACACGACCGTTGAAGAAGGAGCATCGGGCTCCTGCGTCCCGCAACAAGCGCGTGTGGTCGGACGCCGAGTTGACGTCCCTAGCGGCCGCTCGTTGGAACACTAAAGACGACCTCAAGGCTATGCAGGGCAAGCAGGGGAGCCAGTACTGGAGGAAGCTCCGCGCCCACATGCTTGAGAAGGACAAAAATTGGGACCGCGATGAGGGACAGATGTTCAACGCCTGGAAACGCCTCGAGAAGAAGTACCTGAAAACGAAGCGGGGGGAGGGACAGAGCGGAGGGAAAGCGATAAAGAAAAAACCGTGGTGGGAATACATCTACCACCTTAAAAAGCACTCGGCGAAGGCCAAGGCGCACGCCCTCGACGGTGGAGGCGCGGCGAACGTCAACGTCCAAGCGTACGCCCCGGTGCCCGGCTGCACCGACCGGGAAACTTCCGCGCCTCCATCGGAGGGCCGTGGGCGCTCTAATCGCCGTCAGGCGACCACACCAGGTGTGTACTCCCCACTCGTAAGAGTGAGCATGAAGTGCTTTGCTTCAGGTCCAGCTTTGTGTTTGCCGCTGATATCTCCCTTCCAGCGATTGTGGTTCAACGTTAGACGTGTGAGCATGACCTGGAGGTAGATGTATCAAATATTCATAAAGTTAACGAAGAAACAAAAACCGTTTCCGCCTTATTGACATCCACCCCCCCTACACACTCCACTACAGATGCCGGGGTGACTCCACCCCCTAAACGACGGCGGATTGAGGAGACTGCCACCATGGCGGCCGCAAAGATGGTGAGCGAGGCCATCAACTCCACCAATGCGACGGTGGTGCGACAGCTGCAAGACTCCACCCAGCTCCTTGTCGCCGCCATGAACATGGCGGCGCTCCAGGCTGGCTTTCGACTGCAGATAGCCAGCCCGCCAGCGCCAATCGCGGCACCTTCGAATACCCCGACTCTCGCCCATCCGGAAGTTGCGGGCGACGAGAACATGGGAGGGTCCGAGGATGTCGAGGAGCATGCGGAGCCTTAGCGCGCCGACGTCCGCACACGGTGACGCCTGAGGTAAGCGCGATGGATGTGTTTGCCGAAGTGATGCCTGCGCGCGCGCAGATCGGCCAGCGAAGGGTTGTCGAGGCTCTACCACTCGTACTTGTCCATGCCACTTCTTGTCCACCAGCCGTTAGGGAGCCCGGCCCAGATAAAGCCGCGCGGATTGTGCGTTTTCATGCGCGGCGTGCTAACGACCTGCAACATGTTGTGCAGGATGATGATGCAGGCCGTCCCAGCGCATACACGCCAGAGCTTGCTCTCGTTCCTGCGCGCGAAGAGCCGCCAGCGTCCCTTCAACGCGCCGATGGTGCGCTCGACGACCATGCGGGTAGCAGACTGCACGTAGTTGTATGTCTGCTCCCATTTCTTCATCAGGCGACGGCGTGGGGCGTGAAGGGGGGTGAGCATGTAAGGCTTCAGCGGGTATGCCGCATCTCCTACAAGCTGATAGGGGGCGATTTCCCCACTCTCTAGCCTGCCATGCAAATCAGATGTTAAGAAAACACCTTGATCATGCATTGAACCAGGATTGCCCACGTTGTAATCCCAGATGACTCCCTTTGAGTCGCATGTCACTTGAAGTTGGACACTGTAAACCTGCTTCCGGTTGTAGTAGTCACCACGGTGAGCCTCCATGCCACGTAGCTCGATGTGGGTCCCGTCAATCGCCCCAATCACGTTGGGAACTCCCTTGATAGCACGGAAGTCAAGCGCCATCTCCTCCCTCACGTCCTCCGTAGGAAACTGCACCCAGTCACGCTTGAACTTGCGGGGAAACCATACCAAGAAGGCATCGACGATACGGTGGATGAGTCCTGGCGGCAATCCAAACAAGAGGCCCAAATCGTGGAACGTCATGGCGCTGGCAAAATACTTGATGGGGATAAGACAGCACAGTGACAAGGGAACCTCATTCACTTCCACAAAACGCGACATGGGGTAGGCCATTCGCTCGGCGATGAGGTCGAAGACTTCGCGGGTAATACGGAAGGTATCTTCAAACTCTTCGTCGAACATCGTGCGGATCTCCTCCACCCATTCCGCCACACGAGCCTCGCGACGCCGGCTACGCTTCTCCCGGCGCTCGGTTGCACGGCAGAGGCGTTCGGCATCTTCAGCCTCAGCCATGGGTAGGATGGTGGTTATCCACTCTAGAGCCGCAAGAGAGACTACACGCTGCCAGGTGTTAAGAAGCACCTCATGCCACAGGAGCAAGGCCACACAAAGTATGAGGACCTGACCTGTGAGCATGGTTTAAGGACTCCCAGGAGGTGTAAAGTGGTAGCTCATCCTATCAACGGGAGCTGGTTCACGACCGTGCATAATGCGGGGCGCGTTGGGAGTCGCGCTGGTTGCAAGGCGGCTAGCTATGGTCAAGCTTGTGCTTGTAGATATGGCTTGTATCTGTGTTCATGGTCAAGTGGCTTTTACAGAATTGTGCTATACGAAGTGATGGTGTTGGTGAAATTGACGGGCGTGAATGATGAAGGACGTCCGTCAAAAGAGGGGGACCCAACATGGGGTCGCACTTGTGTGTGATTGGTGGGGGACACATTGGGCGTGACGGTCGCATGCAGGTTGCAGGATGACCCGAAGTTCGAGCCGCGCGCGGTTCCGGTGTTGAGTTCGGGGCATCCGTGATTTGCGGATGCCCCAAACAGTTGAATGAACAGTGCTGACGACCCGAAGTTGGATACGCCTAGAGCTTGCTCCCCTCGTCCCACAAGGGAGTTGATCCCCCACAACACCCCGCACCGCGGGACTCGCTGGTGATTCAAAACTTTTGGAAAAACACAAGTATACGGATTCTCGCGTGTCTGGAAAGGCAACCACTGCGCACGACATGCGGCATAAGCGGTAGATAAACACTTCGTGACTCAACAGCCAGGGCAAATAACTCGTTTCCGACACAAACGTATTCAAAACTACAAGTAGGTTTTGTACGGTCTGCACCACCTCCCGTTCCTCCCTCACACTCGCTGTCCCGCATCACACGCGTGTGACCTTGAAACAGCGCTAGCTGCGGCGCTAGCTTTCAAACAAGACCCTTCCCCTACCACCATCATCACGGCTTCACAGTGAACCGGCCCCACATCGCATGGAATGCGATCCCTAGCGATACAATGGGCCGCGACGAAGCTGCTTTGCGTCGTAGGCGACGAGAGGCTGCGCCTCCCTTCCCTTCGCGGCCTTTCGTCGCCTTCGGAGAAGCCGCGCCCTTTCCCTCGCGTTGTCACGTCGCCTAGCGATAGGCGGCGCCGAAACTCCCCTTTGCGCCTGCTTATCCCCTTCCCTTTTGCCGCCTCGCCATCTCACAATCCCACCTCCCCATCTCGCATTATCTCCTCCCCATCTCCGCTTCCCACCTCGCCGTCTCCCTTTCCCACCTCCCCATTTCCACTGCCAAGTTCCTTTTCAGCAGCCCCATCTCCACTTTTCAAATCCCTTCCCTTCTCCCTCTCTTCCCTTTCGATCTCCCCTTCCCGCCTCCCCATTTCCCCTTCCCGCCTCCCCATTTCCCCTTCCCGCTCCCCATTACCCCTTCCCGCCTCCCCGTTTCCCCTTCTCGCCTCCCGAATTCGCGTTTCCGCCTCCCCGTTTTCCCTTCCTGCTCCCCATTACCCCTTCCTGCCTCCCCGTTTCCCATTCCCGCCTCCCCAATTTCCCCTTCCCGCTCCCCATTACCCCTTCCCGCTCCCCATTACCCCTTCCCGCCTCCCCGTTTCCCCTTCCCGCCTCCCCAATTTCCCCTTCCCGCTCCCCTTTACCCCTTCCCGCCTCCCCATTTCCCCTTCCCGCTCCCCATTTCCCCTTCCTGCCTCCCCATTTCCCCTCCCCGCCTCCCCATTTCCCCTTCCCGCCTCCCCATTCCCCCTTCTCGCCTCCCCTTTACCCCTTCCCGCCACCCCATTTCCCCTTCCCGCTCCCCATTACCCCTTCCCGCCTCCCCATTTCCCCTTCCCGCCTCCCCATTTCCCCTTCCCGCCTCCCCATTTCCCCTTCTCGCCTCCCCAATTCCCGTTCCCGCCTCTCCTTTTCCTCCGCTCCCCATTACCCCTTCCCGCCTCCCCGTTTCCCCTTCTCGCCTCCCCAATTCGCGTTTCCGCCTCCCCGTTTTCCCTTCCCACTCCCCATTACCCCTTCCTGCCTCCCCGTTTCCCATTCCCACCTCCCCAATTTCCCCTTCCCGCTCCCCATTACCCCTTCCCGCTCCCCATTACCCCTTCCCGCCTCCCCGTTTCCCCTTCCCGCCTCCCCAATTTCCCCTTCCCGCTCCCCTTTACCCCTTCCTGCCTCCCCATTCCCCCTTCTCGCCTCCCCTTTACCCCTTCCCGCCACCCCATTTCCCCTTCCCGCCTCCCCTTTACCCCTTCCCGCCTCCCCATTTCCCCTTCCCGCCTCCCCATTTCCCCATTTCCTTCCAGCCCTCACATTTTATTCCAGCCCCTTCCATCCCTTTCCAGCCCCTCCCATCGCATCCCCATGTCGTGCCACCCTGTCTCTCCCTTCCCTCTCCAGGCCACCCTGTCTCTTTCCAGCCCTCTCCAGGCCACCCTGTCTCTTTCCAGCCCTCTCCATGCCACCCTGTCTCTTTCCAGCCCTCTCCATGCCACCTTGTCTCTTTCCAGCCCTCTCCATGCCACCCTGTCTCTTTACAGCCCTCTCCATGCCACCCTGTCTCTTTCCAGCCCTCTCCATGCCACCCTGTCTCTTTCCAGCCCTCTCCATGCCACCCTGTCTCTTTCCAGCCCTCTCCATGCCACCCTGTCTCTTTCCAGCCCTCTCCATGCCACCCTGTCTCTTTCCAGCCCTCTCAATGCCACCCTGTCTCTTTCCAGCCCTCTCCATGCCACCCTGTCTCTTTACAGCCCTCTCCATGCAACCCTGTCTCTTTCCAGCCCTCTACATGCCACCCTGTCTCTTTCCAGCCCTCTCCATGCCACCCTGTCTCTTTCCAGCCCTCTCCATGCCACCCTGTCTCTTTCCAGCCCTCTCCATGCCACCCTGTCTCTTTCCAGCCCTCTCCATGCCACCCTGTCTCTTTCCAGCCCTCTCCATGCCACCCTGTCTCTTTCCAGCCCTCTCCATGCCACCCTGTCTCTTTCCGGCCCTCTCCATGCCACCCTGTCTCTTTCCAGCCCTCTCCATGCCACCCTGTCTCTTTCCAGCCCTCTCCATGCCACCCTGTCTCTTTCCAGCCCTCTCAATGCCACCCTGTCTCTTTCCAGCCCTCTCCATGCCACCCTGTCTCTTTACAGCCCTCTCCATGCCACCCTGTCTCTTTCCAGCCCTCTCCATGCCACCCTGTCTCTTTCCAGCCCTCTCCATGCCACCCTGTCTCTTTCCAGCCCTCTCCATGCCACCTTGTCTCTTTCCAGCCCTCTCAATACCACCCTGTCTCTTTCTAGCCCTCTCCATGCCACCCTGTCTCTTTACAGCCCTCTCCATGCCACCCTGTCTCTTTCCAGCCCTCTCCATGCCACCCTGTCTCTTTCCAGCCCTCTCCATGCCACCCTGTCTCTTTCCAGCCCTCTCCATGCCACCCTGTCTCTTTCCAGCCCTCTCCATGCCACCTTGTCTCTTTCCAGCCCTCTCAATGCCACCCTGTCTCTTTCCAGCCCTCTCCATGCCACCCTGTCTCTTTACAGCCCTCTCCATGCCACCCTGTCTCTTTCCAGCCCTCTCCATGCCACCCTGTCTCTTTCCAGCCCTCTCCATGCCACCCTGTCTCTTTCCAGCCCTCTCCATGCCACCCTGTCTCTTTCCAGCCCTCTCCATGCCGCCCTGTCTCTTTCCAGCCCTCTCCATGCCACCTTGTCTCTTTCCAGCCCTCTCAATGCCACCCTGTCTCTTTCCAGCCCTCTCCATGCCACCCTGTCTCTTTACAGCCCTCTCCATGCCACCCTGTCTCTCCCTTCCCTCTCCAGGCCACCCTGTCTCTTTCCAGCCCTCTCCAGGCCACCCTGTCTCTTTCCAGCCCTCTCCATGCCACCCTGTCTCTTTCCAGCCCTCTCCATGCCACCTTGTCTCTTTCCAGCCCTCTCCATGCCACCCTGTCTCTTTACAGCCCTCTCCATGCCACCCTGTCTCTTTCCAGCCCTCTCCATGCCACCCTGTCTCTTTCCAGCCCTCTCCATGCCACCCTGTCTCTTTCCAGCCCTCTCCATGCCACCCTGTCTCTTTCCAGCCCTCTCCATGCCACCCTGTCTCTTTCCAGCCCTCTCAATGCCACCCTGTCTCTTTCCAGCCCTCTCCATGCCACCCTGTCTCTTTACAGCCCTCTCCATGCAACCCTGTCTCTTTCCAGCCCTCTACATGCCACCCTGTCTCTTTCCAGCCCTCTCCATGCCACCCTGTCTCTTTCCAGCCCTCTCCATGCCACCCTGTCTCTTTCCAGCCCTCTCCATGCCACCCTGTCTCTTTCCAGCCCTCTCCATGCCACCCTGTCTCTTTCCAGCCCTCTCCATGCCACCCTGTCTCTTTCCAGCCCTCTCCATGCCACCCTGTCTCTTTCCGGCCCTCTCCATGCCACCCTGTCTCTTTCCAGCCCTCTCCATGCCACCCTGTCTCTTTCCAGCCCTCTCCATGCCACCCTGTCTCTTTCCAGCCCTCTCAATGCCACCCTGTCTCTTTCCAGCCCTCTCCATGCCACCCTGTCTCTTTACAGCCCTCTCCATGCCACCCTGTCTCTTTCCAGCCCTCTCCATGCCACCCTGTCTCTTTCCAGCCCTCTCAATGCCACCCTGTCTCTTTCCAGCCCTCTCCATGCCGCCCTGTCTCTTTCCAGCCCTCTCCATGCCGCCCTGTCTCGTTCCAGCATCCTGCCCTCACGATGAGAGTCCAACCTAGTGCAAACCCTCTCTCGCTGTCTCTCCCTTTCCTCTGTTACTGTCCTTTCCACCCATCCCTCCCATTCTTGCCCTTCCCTTACTGCCCTCGTGTTCATGCCCGTCTCTTCCATACCGTCATATCCCTGCCCTTTAGTTGCCTGCCCTTCTCTACCAGCCTTTCCTTCGTGCCGTGCAGTCAACCACCATTCCTTATTTCCCCTCACTTCCCTTCCCTCCCTTCCCTAGCTGCCCTTGCTTGCATTCCAGCACGTCACTGCCATTCCAAATTTATTCCTGCACAAACGTCGACAAGATGGTCATGCGGGCACAGTCGCAACCTCTCATGTTGACAAGATTGTCATGCGGGCACCATCGCAACCTCTCATGTTGACAAGATTGTCATGCGGGCACAGTCGCAACCTCTCATGTCGACAAGATTGTCATGCGTGTACAGCTGCAACCTCTCATGTCGACAAGATTGTCACTCTTTGGGCTATTCCCAAAGCCCCATTAAAGCATACGTAAGCGTCTTGTATGTTTCGCAACAGATGCTCGAAATCTATCGCCTTACGACCCGTACCTATCCCATTGGTTCTATCCCTCCCTCCCTCCCTCCCTCCCTCCCTCCCTCTCTCTCTATCTCTCTCTCTTGAATGGTCCTTGCATTTCTTTGGGGGGTGGTACAACGGAAGGTGCAAAACACACAAGCACAGGCTCAACAGAAAACCGGCATCCTAACTATTCCAAGTCCCCTACCTACTCTGCCCCCCCCCCCCTGTCCGACCCTACTTGTCGAACGGGGCCTCAATCAACTGGTGCAGCTGTCCCTCACTGAGAGGGATGATGGGTCCTCTAAAACCGAGCTCGTCCGCCGCCAAGGCCTCATTGGTCTTGGTGCGGAGGGCGTTGGCCTGTGCCCGCTGGAGGCACACGCTCCAACGCTGGCGGTACTCCGTCAGAAGCTTCGCTGCTTCGTAGGAGGTAGGGGCTGCGTTAAACCGCAGCTTTGCCGCCAGCTCCGCGCACTGCCGCAGGTAAGCCAGCACCCCCGGCAAGGGGTAGCCGTATGTTTCCACTGCGAGCGCGTGGAACCCCACCCACGTGTTCCGCCGTGCGTACTTCTCCTCCTTTTTTGCCGCTGCCGCCCCAGCTGCCCAACCAGGAGCTCGGTTGCAGTTCTCGTCCTGGTATGACATCGGGTCCGTCACGGTCACGTCGCACATCCAAACCTCCCCGGTCAGTGGATGACGGATGGTGACATCCGCCTATAGGTTTTCAACCAGTGAGTAGACATACGTCTCCTTATGAACCGTAAAACCCGCCTCAGCCCTGATATTGGCTATCTCATCCCGCAGAGCGTGATGGGTAGCGGTCCTCCCTTTCCCCTTCTCGCAACGCATGAGGTGGTTGGGGAGGCGGTCGTCGGGGAAGGTGGTGCGGTAGCGGCAGTCACAGCGTCTAGGCACTGGGAGGGGGAGGCCTAGGCGGAAGGCAGCTGCAGTTGAGAGCTGGGAGGGGCCCATTCGGAGCGAGGGGATGAGCGGGATCGCCAGCAGCCAATCCCCTACTCCTGGGCCTAGCACCGACTGCATCCGTTGCGCATGGCCTGAAAGGGGGTTGGGGCGCATCCGCCTTGCCTCGCGCATGGCCCTCAAGAAGCGGCGGGAGTGAACCGCCAGCGCTAGGCTCTGCTGCAGCTTCAGTCCCTTGGGATCTGTCTTCCCGGCCTGGAGCACCTCGAGAGCCTCAGGTGGGAGAGCTGCCTCAGCCGCGGCGAGGCGTGCAGGCAGCGCGTGCGGGGAGCCGTGGGTAGGGTCCAGTAGGGGGAGGAGCGCGGCGACAGCAGGGTGTAACGACTCCTCCAGGGAGTATAGAAGGTGGGCGGCGCTGATCACTGAAGCGAGGTAAGCGTAGCTGCCTTCAACGGCGAGGTTAGTGATGCCCAGGCCTCCCAGAGTCACGGGCAGGGCCGCCTGCCGCCAAATCCTCCACCTCTCCCGGGCACTCCTCGGTCTCATGATGTGGGCCGAGTCCAGGAAGGTGTGTAGGAGCTGCTCCCCCCAAGCTGACCATTCCGCTTCAGGGAGAGCTTCCAGGGGGGTGGTTCTGGCCAGAAAAGAGGCTAGGCGGCTGACACAGCGGGTGAGGAGGAGGAGGCTAAGCTGGGGGTCCATCTGGGCCAGCAGGGGGAGTGGGGATGCTGCTACTGCCAGTCTCTCTCTCACGGCGCCCGCGCACCCCCGGGGTGTGCCAACCGGGCTGCCGAGAATCTGCAGTCCCTCATCAGAGATAGTAATTCCCGGGGGCACTGCAGAGGGGTCGATTGGAGCGGCGGACCACGCCGCGCATTTGGCCGGGTTGTGTACCAGGCCGAGGGCGGCAAGTGCGGATGTGAGGTGGTCGAAAGCTGCTGTGCAGGCTGAGGCGTCGCCGAGCAGCGTGATGTCATCGGCGTACGCCAGCAGGACCACCTGAGGGTGTGCCGCCGCCGTGGCAATGAGGCACGGGTGGATGCTTGCCGCGAACAGGAGGGGGCCGAGCGGGTCCACTTGGCGAACTCCTCTGGCGCTCTGCAGCGGGGCTGCGCCGAAGTCGTGGTCGAGGTAGAGCAAGGAGGGAGCCCCGTAGGATAGGCGGACGAGGGGGATCAGCTTCTTCAGCGCCTCGTTTCTCAGTCCTTCGAACACCGCTCTCCTTTCTACCGCGTTAAAAGCGTTCGCGAGGTCGATCTGCAAGGCCACTGCAGCAGGGTGCACTTCCAGGTACGTGCGAGCGGTGTGGATAGCCGCTTCGATCCCCCCTGCTACTGCCACGCCGAATTGAAGGGGGGCAAAGTGAGTACGGGCGGCTGGCGTGGTCAGGAAGAGGGCGGCCTTTGCTATAATCCGGAGGAGACACTCCCCCACCGCTATTGGTCGCGTCCCTCCTTGGGGTTTCGTAAAGGCTAGCAGGCGGGAGGCCGTGAGAAGATCCCCCGCGGCTGTTGGGAGTTTCCCTGCTAGAGCTGTGTTGGAGAGGGCGAGGAGGTGGGAGAGTACTTCGGCATTCCCTAGGGCTGCGTCGCGGATATGCTCGAAAGTGGTTCCTGAGGGGCTGGCCCCGACTCCGTTGGGGAGCTTGGCGAGGAGGCGCCTGAAGCCGCGGGCTTCGATAGTGGGTGGGTTTTCAGCCGAGGCGGTGTGGAGCCAGTCAGGGAGAAGCTGGCTGGCAGGTGGATGTCTCGTCGCGAGGGCTTCCAGCACTTCAGGTGAGGCAGGTGACACAGGGGTGGCCTGGAGGGATTGGAGTGATTTTGACAGGTTACCCCGTTTTGCCAGACCTTCCGCCCGTGCCAGTATTCCAGTTGTGTCGAGTGAGTGGCGAGGCTGCGGAGGCAAGGAAATTGCCTGGACAGCTTCTTCGTATAGGTCCGCCCAGAGCCCTTGGCGAAATCGCAGGAGCCGATTCATCATCGCGCTCCAGTCAGGTTTACGGGCTGACGAGGTGCGAAGGAGTATGCGCGGGAGAAAGGTCAGTAGTTTCCATCTTGGCGCAGACTCGGGATTGGCCGCCAGGTGGAGTAACGGCGTCAACATACAGATCGCGAAGGAGTCGCGAAGGTCTTTGGGGGGGTGGCGAGCGAGAGGAGGTTGGCGACTGTCACGCAGCGGGTCGAGGTCCCAGACTGCAACCTGAGCGAATAGCTCAGAGTTTTTCGCCAGGTCGTCAGGTTTGAGCATCGGGGGGGTTGGACTCGGGGCTGCGGAATTTTCATTGGCTGTTGCAGAGTCAATTCTTTCTTCTGGAGCGGCTCGATTTCCCCTCCTTGCTTCAATTCCCCCCGCGGTTCGATTCCGAACTGAGGTTCGGTTTGCAGGTTCACCTATGGCCTGCTGGTTTGGGAGCTCCGCTTCCCGCAGCAGCTCCAACTCTTCCTCGTCCTCCTCGGCCTCTGCTTCTAACATCCCCTCGCTTTCAGGGTTAAAGGCAGGGTCCCCCTCTTCACTTTCCTCATTCTCCGCTTCCTCCTCTGCTTCCTCGCTAAGTGGTTCCACGTCGCCCTCCGCGCCGTTTCGCATCAGCCTTTCCCCATTCCTCGCGTAGCCGCTTGCACCAGATCGGCGCCTGTTCGAACCTCGTGCTCCACCACCTCTTCGTCCTCTCTCGTTACCTCGTCGTCCGCGGCGGCTGCCGCGTCCTACGCGGATTCCCCGCGTTGCTCGTCCCACAGCAGCTCCCTCGCGCCCTGTCTGCGGCGCCGCGGCCGTCTCGTTTTCGCTTCGTCGCCGCACTGGCGTCGGCTGCGGTAAGATCGGGGGTGATGGACCCATCCGTGAGACGGGATCCGGAGCTGGAGGGTTCCGCGGAGAGCTCGCTACCGCAGCCTGCGCCTGCCGGGCCTCGTCCGCGTCTCCCTGCGCACCCCTCCGCGAGCGAGCCCGTGCACCACTTCGAGCGGGTTCAAACGCTTCCCCATCGTCCTGCCGCGCGCCCCGCCTCGCCAGAGTATTCGTGGGCGCCTGCTCGTGTTGCGTCGAACCGCCCGGACGGTCAGCCGCGGCAGGAGCGCGGGTGCTCGCCTCTGCGGCACCCTCAACAGCCGCCCTCTCCTCGCCGCCCTTCTCCTGAGCGTCGCGAGCACTATCAGCGCGGGGAGGGGGGTAAGCGTTCTCCTGCACGTCCTCGCTCCCCTTGCCGCCCATCCCCTCGTGGTCAGGCAGGCCAGCGCTCCCCGCGAGCGCGATCCCCCGCGCAACATTCTCCTCGGCGATCTCCGGCGACGCGGGGGAGGGGGTCGCCTGGTCGTCGCTGGGATTCGGGTCGCCGCGAGCAGTCCCCCCCGCGTCCACATTCGGCTGGTTCCGGGGGACGGCGGGGCTGGCGGAAGGGCGGAGGGCGAGGCGGGAATGGCAACCAGCCTGATCCAGCCCTCGATCATGCTGCGGACACGTTCGTGGAGGTGGTGAGGCAGGCCCGGGCGAGTGGGGCGCCGACTCACGTCCATATTGAGGTGACCAACGGTCCCCCCTTCGCCGCGGACCCAGGCCAGGTCGCTCCTCTGCGTGCGCCGACGCTGCGCGAGTATCAGCCCACGCGTGAGGGGAGGGCTCAGTTCCGCACCCCCCGTCAGGTTCCCGGCTTCTCTGCGCCGCGCTTGGCTGTTGGCTGGACTCCTGGCTGGCCGGCGGCGTTTCCGCGCGAAGCGCAGACTGCACCTCTCCCCACTCGCGCGGGGAGAGACCCCATGCTGACCATGTGCCGGGTTCTGAATCTGGCGGAGGCGTGCGAGGTGGTGGCGAACTTGCAGCTGGCAGTGTGTGGGGCCACGAGGAGCTTTCCGAGCAGTTTTGGTCCAGGGACCCGAGGATCCTGCGTGACTTTGGCAGAATCACTTGAGTCGCCGCTGGCACCCGTGTCGGACGCGCTCGCCGGGGTAGCTCCCTTAGCCCGTACTTTCCCCCGCCACGTGGGGGATCTTGTAGGGGCTGCTCAAGCCGGGACCCCCTTGGACACACTCCAGTCGTCGGCGCATCTCCTTCTTGCGTTGTCGGCGTGCATGCGCTCGATGCTTGAGGTGGAGGGGGCGGAGCCGTACACTATGTAGGCCTCCGCCGTGTGTAGAATTGCATGCCGCGCCTCTTGCTCCTGCCCAGCTCCTTGCCTTTGTGTGTGTGTGTGCCCTATATATGCCGATCCTCCGTTTTGTGTCTTGCCACCAGAAACGCGCGGCCGAAGGCCGCGCTGGCGAGCGGCGGCGGCCAAAGGCCGCCGGCGTGAGCCGCGGAAAACTGAGAACACACGAAATAATGAGGAGAAGAAGGCACCAAGGGCCCTTAAATAGGCTCAGAGGAAGAGGGCCGAGGGAAGAGGAAGAGGGCTGGATGCTAAGTCCTCTCTCTCTCTCTCTCTCTCTCTCTCTCTCTCTCTCTCTCTCTCTCTCTCTCTCTCTCTCTCTCTCTCTCTCTCTCTCTCTCTCTCTCTCTCTCTCTCAAATGGTCCTTTGTATTAATTCAGCAGGGGGTACAGACATGCAGTTTGACTCGTGGTACCTTTATACCTTCCGACCCATCAACCCATCCCTCTGACCCTTCCCCCCCCCCCTCAGTGCCCTTCTACCCCTCCAGTTTTGAGGATGTCCCCTAGGTGCAGCGGCCAGGGGTCCGCCGCCATCTGGGGGTGCGCTGCCTCGATCCCCGCCCTGGCCTTGGTGTGCAGGGCATTCGCCTGGGAACGCTGTAGGGTCACTGACCAGCGCTGGCTGAAGTGGCAGGCCATCTTCTTGGCCGATTTAGCCAGGGGGTTGGCCCTGAAGGAGTTCCTAGCTGCTGCTGTGTCCAGCAGCTTCAGGAACGCCGTCGTGGGGGGCGCGTTTGCCCCATGGGTCTCGACGGCCAGGGCGCAGAACACCACGTGTTCTGTGTGCCGGTAGTAGTCCCTTTCCTTCCGGTTCTGAGCCTCCCTTGCAGCCCAGCCTGGGGGTTTGCGGGCTGTGGGGTCCCGGTTCTGTAGCACAGGGTCGGTGATAGTCGTGTCTGTGATCCAGGTCTCTCCACTGTCTGGGTCGCGTACAATCACATCGGCCTTCTTTGGGTCATCTGGTGGTGAGTACATTGCATTCTCCAGGTATAGCACCAGCTGCGCCTCCCTCGCCATTTTTGCCACGGCGAAGGCCAGCTGGTTGTGTGTCCGCGTTCTGTCCGGGCCTGTGCTCTCTATCTCTCTCTCTCTCTCTCTCTCTCTCTCTCTCTCTCTCTCTCTCTCTCTCTCTCTCTCTCTCTCTCTCTCGATATATATATATATATATCTTCCTTCCTTTCATTCCTCCCTTTGGTCTGTACACATGTTACATCATTGTGTGTTTTGTACAAAGTTCACGTAAATACGTTCACATTTGTGCAGGCTTATGAGATTATGAGTGTGCGTGCATGTGTGTGTGTGTGTGTTTGTGTGCATGTGTTTGTCTACGGGGGGGGAGGGGGGGTTGCGTGCATGTGTGTGTATGTGTGTGTTGGTGTTCGTGCGTGGATGTGCATGAGAACGTGTTTGTATTTCTCTCTGTGTGTGTCTCTCTCTCTATGTGTGTGTGTGTTTGTGTGTGTGTGTCTGTGTGTGTGTGTCTGTGTGTATGTATGCGTATGTGTGTGTATGTGTGTGGGTGTGTATGTGTGTATGTGTGTGGGTGTGTGTGTGTGAGGGAAAGAGATAGAGAAAGAGTGTATGTGCGTGTATGTGTGCATGCATGTGTTTGTGTGCATGTGTGTGTCCACGGGGGGGGGGAGGGGGGGCTGCGTGCATGTGTGTGTATGTGTGTGTTGGTGTTCGTGCGTGGATGTGCATGAGAACGTGTCTGTGTTTCTGTGTGTGTGTGTCTCTCTCTCTCTCTCTCTCTCTCTCTCTCTCTCTCTCTCTCTCTCTCTATGTGTGTGTGTGTGTTTGTGTGTGTGTCTCTGTATGGGTGTGTGTGTGTGTATGTGTGTGTATGTGTGTGTGTGTGTGTGCGTATGTGTGTGGGTGTGTGTGTGTGAGGGAAAGAGATAGAGAAAGAGTGTATGTGCGTGTATGTGTGCATGCGTGTGTTTGTGTGTGTGTGTCTGTGTGTGTCTACGGGGGGGGAGGGGGGGTTGTGTGCATGTGTGTGTATGTGTGTGTTGGTGTTTGTGCGTGGATGTGCATGAGAACGTGTCTGTGTTTCTCTGTGTGTGTGTGTGTGTCTCACTCTATGTGTGTGTGTATGTGTGTGTGTGTGTGTGTGTGTATGTATGTGTGTGTGTGTATATGTGTGGGTGTGTGTGTGTGAGGGAAAGAGAAAGAGAAAGAGTGTATGTGCGTATATGTGTGCATGCGTGTCATTGTGTGCATGTATGTGTCTACGGGGGGGGAGGGGGGGTTGCGTGCATGTGTGTGTATGTGTGTGTTGGTGTTCGTGCGTGGATGTGCATGAGAATGTGCCTGTGTTTCTGTGTGTGTGTCTCTCTCTCTATGTGTGTGTGTGTGTGTATGTGTGTGTGTGTGTGTGTGTGTGCGCGTGCAAATAACTCTGCCAATGCAAGCCACCTAATAGATGCTGCTCTTATTTGAATCTTTGACCAAAGTGGACTTCACATGGTTAACCTACTCATAAATAGATCACGAGGGAGGGGCCCTGTACAGGATCGCATATATCAAAACAAACTGAACTTTTTCCATTTAAGATGTGCTCACAAAACTTCCAGAATGCATTAAAGGGGGAGGAAGGGCGGGGGGAAAAGACGGATTTGGCGAGGGAGGGAGGGGGTGGGGGAGTAGGGGTTGATGGAGGTCGACACATTGTTGACCGGGAAGTAATAATAATAATAATAATAGCCATGCTGTCACGCGCGCCCCTGCTGCCCACGAGCAGCTCCTGCCCCGCGCGCCCCTGCTGCCCGAGAGCAGCCCTTGCCCCGTGCGCCACTGTTGCCCGTGAGCAGCCCCTGTCCCGAGCGCCCCTGGTGCCCGCGAGCAGCCCCTGCCCCGCGCGCCACTGCTGCCCGCGAGCAGCCCCTGCCCTGCGCGGCCCTTCTGACCGTGAGCAGCCCCGCAGCCCTAAACGCGCCAGCGCGCCCCGCAGGCCAGCGCGCCAGCGCGCCCCGCTGCTAAGCACGCCAGCGCGCCCCGCAGCCTAGCCAGCCAATGCGCCCCGCAGCCCAGCGCGCCAGCGTGCCGCGCTGCTAAGCGCGCCAGCGCGCCACGCAGCCCAGCGCGCCAGCGTACCCCACTACAAAGTGCACCAGCGCGCCCCGCTGCTAAGTGCGCCAGCGCGCCCCGCTGCTAAGCGCGCCAGCGCGCCCCGCAACCCTAGATAAAATAATTATTATTATTATTAAAACAAAAAACAAAAAAAAAACAAACGCCAGCGCGCCCTGCTGCCCAGCGCGTTGCTGCTGCACATGCTGCTACTGCTACGCTGTGCCCTGCCGAGAAGCGCTGCCCAGGCCGAGCCGCGCCGCCCAGCCCGAGCTGCCCTCCTGCTGCTACTGCTGCTGCTCGTGGAGGTGCTGCTGGGAGTGCTGGAGGTGCCGTCGCCCAGCCCCACCGAGCCGCCCTGCTGCTGCTACTGCTCGTGCTACTGCCGCTGCTGGTGGAGGTGCGGCTGGGAGTACTGGAGGTGCTGCTAGTGCTGGAGGTGCTGGACCTACTACTAACCGTCACTGCCTGTCATGGCCACTATCACGTAAGTTGGAGCGGCTAGGGGTGGACAGCAGCGGTCACTGCCTCTCTCGGACAACCCCACCCCTCAGCAGCTTCGTGAGTGGGTTATTTAGCGAGCCCGTCCAGGTGGCGGAGGCTTTGGTTTTATGTGGTCTCAGCGACCTCGCGACTGTGCATCTCAGCGATGCGTCCCTGGTCCTATAGAGGCTGCTACTCTAGGTTCTAGTGAGTCTGCTGCCGCTCCAGGTGCTGGTCAGTCTGCTGCAGCCCTAGGTGGTCGTGACTCTTTCCGTTTTCCAAGCCCCAACTCTTTCCGTAGTAATCCTTTTCTCCGTAACTCTCGGTCATCTCCACGCATCATCCTTTTTGTCGACCATGAGGGTACCCAAGCGTAAAAATGTGACTTCGAATGCCCCATTCATAGAGAAACCACATCTCTCACATGATCGTGGACTGCGCATCGCTCCAGATCTACTCACTCGCGACGCTCAAGACGGTCGTCGAAGCGATGATAAATCATATCCCTTCCGCCCGTCGCTCTCCTATATGCCTCGCTCTCCCTTCTGCCCGTCGCTGGCCCTTCCGCTCGTTGCACTCCCTTACGCCCATCGCCCTCCCTCCCGCCGTCGCCCTCCCTTGTGCCCGTCGCCCTCCCTAGCGCTCGTCGCACTCCCTTCCGCCGCCGCCCTCCCTTCCGCCCAACGCACTCCCTAGCGCCCGTCGCATCCCCTTCCACCCGTCGCACTCACTTCCGCCCTTCGCACTCCCTCCGCCTGTCGCACTTCCTTCCGCTCGTCACCCGCCCTCCGTTCCGCCCTTCCTCCGTTTTCCACGCCCAAACTCTTTCCGTAATAATCCTTTTCTCCGTAACTCTCGGCCATCTCCACGCATCATCCTTTTTGTCGACCATGAGGGTACCCAAGCGTAAAAATGTGGCTTAGAATGCCCCATTCATAGAGAAACCACATCTCTCACATGATCGTGGACTGCGCACCGCTCCGGATCTACTCATTCGCGACGCTCGAGACAGTCGTCGAAGTGATGATCAATCAGATCCCTTCCACCCGTCGCTCTCCTATCCGCCTCGCTCTCCCTTCCGCCCATCGCTGGCCCTTCCGCCCGTCGCACTCCCTTACGCCCATCGCCCTCCCTCCCGCCGTCGCCCTCCCTTGTGCCCGTCGCCCTCCCTAGCGCTCGCCGCACTCCCTTCCACCGTCGCCCTCCCTTCCGCCCGACGCACTCCCTAGCGCTCGTTGCATCCCCTTCCGCCCGTCGCACTCACTTCCGCCCGTCGCACTCCCTCCGCTTGTCGCACTTCCTTCCGCCCGTCACCCGCCCTTCCGCCGTCGCCCTCCCTTCTGCCCGACGCTCTCCCTTCCGCCCGTCGCCCTCGTCTCATCGCCCTCCTCCCTCCCATTCCCCTCCCGGCCGCCCACCGCCCTACCTTCCCCTCGTCGCGCTCCCTTCCGCCCGTTGCCCCCCTTTGTCTCGTCGCACTCCCTGATGCTCGTCGCCCTCCCTCCCGCTCATCCCCTCACAATCCTCCTATCTCTCTCCCCTCGTCGCCATGGCATTCCCGTCAGTGTCGCCATCCCTCCCTTCTTTCTTCCCCAACTCCCTTCTCACTTTTCATGCCCCCTTTCCAGCCTGCACACACCCTTCCTTTCCCCCAATGATCGCATTTCACCATCACACTGCTTACCTCTATCCTTCCCCACATCATTTGCACCCTCCCCACAGTCCTTCGGATAGCTCTCTCCCCGGCATCTCCCCCGTTCCCCGCGTCATGCTTTCCCCCATCCTCTTCCGCAGTGACGCGTTCATGCGGTGAGAGTATCAGGTGCCAACTGAGAAAGTACGAACGAGAAGTGAATGACTATGAAAAGAAGTGGGTACAAATAGGAAACCCTAGTTGGGTTGTACCCCCTATGGGATACCCCACTATAGCCTACAGAAACAAGTAAGCTATATGTTCTGACACACCCCCATAGGCAAAGTGGGGGAGAACAAGGGGTCACAGGACCAGTCAAGCAAAGCAAAGCAAAGCTCAGGGTGGATCACAAAGTCACCACGCATTCCGAGCACAAGTTCAAAGGCCAGAAGGCCAGTTTACATGCAAGATCATATATAGAGATATACAAGAATCAAGCAAGCAAGAGCAAGAGTATATATAGGCGAAGGTACAAGCAAGGTCAAGAGGAGAGCAAGTGAGGCAAGACAGCCACAAGACCCAACTGCGTGCAACAACGCTGATGATCACAAGGCGCAAGTGCCTTGGTGAACACATCAGCAGTGTTGGCCTCAGAGGCCACGTACGCAAGTCGTAGCTGTCCACGCTGCTGTAGCTCACGAGCAAGAAAGTAGCGGAGAGCAATGTGCTTCGTTCTGTGCTCCAGTCGCTGCTCTCGACACAAGGCCAGCATGGCCTTGTTGTCTACGTACAGGACTGGAGGAGAACGAGGCTGCTCTCCAAGGTCGGTCAGCAGGTAGGTGAGCCAGCGTAACTCCTGTGCAGCCATAGCCCCAGCGTAGATCTCAGCCTCACAACTGGAGCCGAGAACAGAAGACGAGCGGGTAGCCCGCCACGAGACAGAGCCGGAACCTAGGCTGAAGATGTAACCCTGTGACGACCGCTGCGTAGCCTGGTCGTCAGCCCAAGAAGCATCTGCGTGCCCAGTGAGGACCACTGGACTGCGCCCTCCAAGCACTAGCCCCATGCCCGACGTACTGCACAAGTAGCGCAACACCCTCTTCGCTGCAGCCATGTGCTCTGGTCGGTGTCTCCCAGGAGCAACAAAGCGTGCGAGAATGCTAAGAGGGTATGCGAGGTCAGGTCGTGTGCAGGTCATCAGGTACATGAGGCAGCCAACAAGCTCTGCAAACGGGCCACTCGACTCTACGGACTCATCCGAAGGCAGAGCTGAGAGCGAGTGGCGAGTAGGCAGAGGAGTGGCCTGAGGCGAGGAGTACGTGAAGCCGAAGCGCTGAAGGACCTGCTGCACCATGTGTGACTGAGTCAGGGTAATGGTGCGGCGCGCTCTGTCCCGGGTGATCTGCAAGCCAAGGTAGCTGCGCAGTTCACCCAGGTCAGTGCACGTGTGTCTCTTCTGCAGCTCGGACTTCACGTAGGCGAGTCCAGCAGTGTCAGCTGTGGCAAAGACCAAGTCGTCGACGTACACGAGGATGTAGAACGGCGGCAGAGAGGTGTCGGTGCGAAGAAACAGCGACGGGTCGGCAGTAGAAGGAGCAAACCCAAGTGCCGCGAGCGTAGTCCTCAGTGTGTCGTGCCACTCACATGGCGCCTGGCGGAGACCGTAGACTGGACGCCGGAGACTCCACTGGGTACCAGGAGGGAAAGACCCAGTGAAGCCAGGTGGGCGACGCAGCCAGATCTCCTCGTGCAGGCTGCCCTGCAAGAAAGCAGTGCTGAAGTCAAGAGAGTGCAGCTCGTAGTCACGGTGAGCAGCAACGTGCAGCAAAACCCGAAGAGTGGTCATCTTCGGGGTGGGGGAGAAGGTCTTAAAGTAGTCAACCCCCTGCCGCTGACTGAAGCCACGAGCCACGTAACGCGCCTTGAAGACAGGCGGAGAACCCGGCGGCCGCTTCACCCTGAAAATCCACATGCCACTGACGATGTTCGCCCCAGGAGGGGGAACAGCGTCAACGTAGGTGCCTGTGGACTTCCAGGAAGCCATCTCTGCATCCATAGCTGCCTGCCACTGAGAGGAGTAGGGACCCTCTATCGCCTCCGCGTAAGAGCGCGGAGTCGGGATGTCTAGTGCATCCGGGTCTCCCTCAGGGGCTAGCAGTACAGACGCAAGACGAGGTGAAGCAGCGGCTAGACACTGGAACTCCTCCTGCCTGTCCTCAAGGACGTCCGTGCCAAGGGCACACGCACCCCCGACGGACGGAGGACAGGCGGACTCAGACTCAGTGACAAGACGAGCAGCGTAGTCCAGACGACAGCGCGCAGCAAAGTCGACAAGCTCAGTGACAAGGGCAGACGCAGCGGACGACTCGAAGGAAGGGTCAGTGACAGCAGTAGCAAGTAGACGCGTGACAGTAGGACTGGCAGCGCGAAGAGAGTCCGACTCAGGGTCGGCAAGAGCAGGAAGAGAGGAAGCAGGAGGAGAAGGCAAAGGGGCACGCAGAGGAGCAGTGGACGGACGCAGTGACATCCGGTGCGTGCCAGGGACAGGAGGAGGACGCTGACGCGAACCACGACCACTAGCGCGCACAGTACGAACAGGCGACGCAGGACGAGACGCAGGCTCACGACGCTCAGTAAGACCTCCAGTCGGACCAGCGTAGGGAGAAGGAGCAGGCAAAGGGGAGGCAGGCTGTAGCTGTGGCTGCGACCGAACAGGCTGCGAACCCTCTAAGGGAGCAGGAGGAGGTGCAAGACCAAGAACCTGCTGCAGGAGCGGAACGAAGTACGGTCGGGGCCGCGCGGCGACACCAGAAACAGCAGGAACAGCAGCAGCAGCCCCGTCCGGAGCACCCACTCCAGCAGCACCTCCAGCAGAAACACCAGAAGCTCCAGAACCTCCAGCAGCAGCACCAGGAACACTGTCAGTCGGACCGCCAACCGCAGGCTCAGCGCCAACACCCTCAGCAGGACCAGCTCCAGGAGAACTCTCAGACCCAGCAGCTCCAGCACCCACAGCACCGCCAGGACGCGCGGCAGTAGTACCCTCTGCAGCCGAAGAACCACCAGCACCAGCAGCACGCCTCCAGCGCCTGGCAAACCACTCACACAGCTCCTGTGGGGGGAGTGGCTCTCGGCGAGACGAAGCACCCCCAGGCACAGCACCCCCAGGCTCAGCACCCCCAGGCTCAGCACCCCCAGGCACAGCACCCCCAGGCTCAGCACCCCCAGGCTCAGCACCCCCAGGCTCAGCACCCCCAGGCACAGCACCCCGAGGCTCGACACCTCCAGGCTCAGCACCCCCAGGCACAGTACCCCCAGGCTCAGCACCCCCAGACTCCGCACCCCCAGGCTCAGCTCCCGCAGCAGCACCAGAGTCACCAGTGACCTCGACAGGCTCGACCGCGTCTACCTGGGACACACCTGAAGGGGCAGGACCCTGAGGGGGGAGGGGGACTACCGGGGGGGGACCTGGTACCAAGAAGAGCGGGGGCGGGGGGAGGGACGGAGTGCGGTAGGGGAAGAGGCGGTAGTAGGGTACCGACTCGTCGAACGTGACGTCCTGGGAGGACAGAACACGTCGAGAGGTGGGGTGGTAAAACTGCCACCCAGGGGCGTCGGGGGGGAACCCCAGGAAGACGCAGGGAGAAGCACGAGGGGACAGCTTGTCCGCAGACAGGTCGCGAACAAACGCCCGAGATCCCCAGACCCGGAACGCTGACGCAACGCCAACCTTCCCCGTCCACAGCAGGGCTGGGGAGGTCTCTGGTCGAGAGACCCTGGGGTGGAGGTTGATCTGGTGCGCAGCGTACCTGACCGCAAACGGCCACAGAAAATGGGGAGCAGCCGCATGCATCATGGACGTACGAGCGACGTCCATGACCATGCCAATGCGGCGCTCAGCAATCCCATTCTGCTGTGGTGAGTCCGGAAGCGTGAAGGTCTGACGGATGCCTCGCACATGACAGTAGGCACTCAGGAGGGCAGAGGAGAACTCTCCGCCTCTGTCCGAGTGCAGACGCAAAACAGGGAAGTCAGAGCCAAAGCTCCTCCGAAGCTGAAGACGAGCTGCGCGGATCCAGTCGATCAACACCTCAGTGACCTCACCCTTGCTGCGCAAGGGGAAGACTGTGGTGTAACGCGAGTAGTCGTCAACCACCAGCAGGAAGTAGCGCTCCTGACCCTGTCCACGGACGCGGGCTGGGCCCCACACGTCCATGTGAAGCGTCTGCAACGGGGCCTCTGTCGGAGGAAACTGGGAGGAGTGGGGGGCAGCACGCTGGCGCCCCTCGACACAGGGGACACAGGCAGGGCCAGGGCCCGGAGGAAGGGGAGGGAGGGACCGGGGAAGACCAGACACAAGGACCCGCGAGGCCATGCCTCTGAGCAGAAGCAGAGAGGGGTGGCCAAGGCGGTGGTGCCAGAGGAGGGTCTCGTGAGACAGACGACGACACGAACAGGGGGCAGACTCAGGACCAGACCTGGACGCTGCAGCAAACACCTGACCAGACGAAGGGACTCTACCAGACGCAGCACCTGGAGGAGAAGCAGTGGTCAGTATGTACAGGCTCGACCCTGGCCGACGTGTAAACGTAGCCAGGTGACGACCTGTATCCGCCTCCGTACAGTGGGTCACCCGCTGACGAGCAGGGGTGAACTGGTGGACACCTGCATCCTGGAGGTCAGCACCACTCACCAAGTTCGTCGAGAACGAGGGGAGGTAGAGACCAGTCAGGGTGCCAGAGGGGGCCGCTGGACACGGGAGGACAGTGGAGAAGCGAGACAGGACAGGTCCCCCAGAGGGGTCAGCCAAGGACACCGCAACCGGCCGACTCAGCGGCGTGAGAGTGGTGCGG